GGATCCCGCTTCAAAGGATCCCGCTTCAAAGGATTCCGCTTCAAAGGATTCCACTTCAAAGGATCCCGCTTCAAAGGATCCCGCTTCAAAGGATCCCGCCTCCGAAACAAGGCGTGAGATGTGGTTGGAGACAAAGTGGGAGAACATCACGGTGGGCGACATTGTACGAGTAGAGGCGGATCAAGTGTTTCCAGCAGACTTGATAATGTTGACGTGTTCGGACGACTACGGAATAGCGTACGTGAATACGGTGCAGTTGGACGGCGAGACGAATATGAAGACAAAGACTGCGGTGCCTTCATTGCACGAGGCATATGGAAAGAGAATAGCTGACTTGGCGAATTCTAAGTTCGAGTTATCTTACGGACCACCTACGTCCAAGTTGTACAATTACAATGGCGTAATGAAGGTGCGAGATGGATGCTACCAGTTCGACGTGGAGAACAAACGATTGAAGGCATCGTTGTCGAAGAAGCGTTCGATTTTCGGTCATGACGGGACGGCTCCAAGTGCAGGGACAGATGTTGGAGGGCACTCGGTAAGCGAAGCACCTTCAGTTTCTTCTCTCGTTCTCAAGGCGCCGTCGGACTCCCGTGCCTCGTTGAGCGGACAAGAATATCCGATTTCGCTAACACAGTTCATGTGGCGAGGTGCTACCTTGGTAAATACGGCTTGGATCGCTGGTATCGTGGTCTACCCGGGTCATTATACTCGTATATACCAAAACACCCGTGAGCGCACCCCCAAGACTAGTGGACTGCTTAAGAGCTATAACCTGGACGCAGTCGTGCTCTTCCTGGCTGAAGTAATTCTATGCATCGTCGCCGCTGGTATGTATGCCCTGGATGTCTCGCGTAAACAGTCCGACAGTTGGTATCTTGCACCAGGCAGCGCTAAAGAATTAAGTGGGGGACTAGATGGCGGGTTCGTTGCGTTCGCAGTTTCTTTCGGTCGCTACGCCTTGTTACTGAGCTACTTCATTCCTATCACACTCTTCGTCCAAGTAGAAATCTGCCGCTGGTTCGAAGGCTTCTTTATCAACGCCGACCAACATGCATACTCTGTACCTGGTGACTGCCATCCTAACGTCAGCACCATGGGCGTCCTCGAAGACCTGGGCAATATCACCCACGTTTTCAGTGACAAGACAGGGACACTCACGCAGAACCTTATGCAACTGCGTGCTTGCCGTATTGGCTCTCAACAGTTCTATGAAACACCTCCCGAGCCAGGATCTGGTTTAGGCTCCGGATTGGACACCGATAGAGACCCGGCCAATGACGCTGAATTCTCCAAAGGCGGTCTTCGACACGGAACGGGTAGGGAACGTGAGGTCGAGGAAGTATATTTGCGGAAACTGCAAGCCCTCGCCACCGACAATGCTGCACAGGGCAAACGCATCCCTGATGTCCAAACTAGCCCGAATCCTTTTGTTTGTTTTGATGCAGCATCCGTGCGCACACGTGTGCTCCAAGAAGACCCCGCCAATACCGATACCGCGCGCACATTCTTCCTCATCCTCTCACTCTGCCATAGTGTACTCCCCAAGGCTGATGCAACCACCGTCACCACCGCCGAGACCAACTCCAACTATGTCTCCAACGCTAACTCTCACCAGGACTCCGAAGACAGCGCGGATCAAGGAGACGGGGACGGAGAGGAGGAGGAAGACGAAGACGAGGACTCAGACCTTAGTGCGGACGACCTTGGTGGTGATCGCGCACGTGACCCCGCTAATGACCACGGTCACCTTGGAAGTAGTGGTCACCCTGGGAGTGGCCTTGGTAGCGGGGGGAGTGGTCTGGATGGCGGGCTCGAGAAGGACGGCGGCAGTCTCGAGAAAAATAGCGCGAGGCCGAGTCCGAAGTTGTCACCACAGCAACATGATACCCCCTTCGAACCGAAACGGCTGGACGCGGAACTTTCGCAAAAGACTGCTTTGTCGACTAGCTTGTCCTTCGAAGATTCATCGCTACATGGCTCCGTCCTGAACGCAGATCTCGGCGCCGGCTTGCGTCCCCGGGATCGTGTCTTCAGCTGTTCCTCAGGCTCCGATGATGCCAAGGACGACGACGCCGAGGAGGAGGACGACGAAGACAGTATAGACCTCCTGCACTCCCACCTTGCCGAGCCTTTCTACCCCAACTCTACCCCGCTGTGCCCCATCCAGGACCAATACCTTACCCAGGAACAGTACCCCACCCAACTGTACCCCGCCTCTATGTATCCTGCGCCCACCGTTCTGGGGAGCGCAGAGCGAGAACCCCGTTATTCCGTCCGGAGTTTTGTTACAAGCAGCGAAGCCTTCACGCCATCCAGCGTCCTCGTCCCGAGCCTGTCCTGCGCCGCCCGAGAACCCAGTACAGTCCGGGAGTCCGGCACGGTCCGGGAGTCCGGCACGGTCCGGGAGTCCGGCACGGTCCGGGAGTCCGGCACGGTCCAGGAGTCCGGCACGGTCCAGGAGTCCGGCACGGTCATCGTCCAGAATTCCCGGGTAATGCCGGTGGCGACGGTCGCTGGTCCCGCGGTCTCTGCCCCCGTCGTCGGCGGCACAAGACCGGTGGCGGAATCTCGGTCGAGCGGCAGTTCCGGACGCGACTCGGGTAGCATCATAAAGCGCACTTCCGATGACAAAGTCGTGATCGACTTCAACTACTTCGATCCACTACCTTCGAAACTCAGTCGGCGATCACGACACTCGGGTTCAGGCGGAATCGCCACCCACGATCTCGAAGCAGGAGGTGTCCAGGACACCTCCTGCATCAACCGGTTGCGTCAGTCCTGTTGGCGCGCACATGCACACTCCCCCCGCAACTCCAACTGGCGCCGTCCCACTGGCTCGCGAACTGCCTCGCACTCAGGTGGTCACGATTCCGCCAGGCCGGGTCATGGCGGGTCGGGTTCGACTAACGGTCCGACGTCGGCGGCAGGTTGGGAGTTGGATCCATACGACCAAGCTTCAGAGGCGGGGTCAGCAACGGCGGGGTCGGGGTATAAGGAACGGTACCGACGGCGGCGGAGTGGTGTATTACGTTTAAGGGACATGCGTGCGGTACGGACGCCGCCGATGTTTGCGGCGGATGCGGCGCTGCATGGGGCCGAACCGTCAGGCGCGGACGCGGCGGAATTGGCGTTGGTTCATTGGCCGGATTCGTTGGCAACGCCGTACGACGCGTCTTCGCCGGACGAGTTGGCCTTAGTTTCAGGTGCGAAGCATCTGGGTGTAGAATTCCTGCGTCGTCCGGATCTAAACACGATCCAAATTGGATTGCTTAACGAGAACGCAGAAAAGATTGTGTTAGATAGCAATGATCGCGACTGGGTCGCTACCCGCCGCGCGGCGGCCGGGTCCGCCGCCCCGGCGGAGGACTTAGTACCGGGATTAGTGTTCCCGGTGCACGAGGTATTGGACTTTGACAATTTCCGGAAACGAATGAGTGTCATCGTGACGGATCGGGACGGTCAGCTCAAGTTGCTAAGTAAAGGCGCCGACTCGGCCATGCTCAAGGCGGCGGCTGCCGGTCAGGAGGCGAGCCTGGGCGAGTTGTCTGACTCGCTTTCGCAGTTTGCGCGCGAAGGTTTGCGCACACTCGTGCTCGGTTACCGTGTTGTGCCCGCGGCGGAGCTAAAGAGCTTCCAAACCAAGCTGGGCCGACTGCGGGCGAGCGGTGCCGATGACGTGGAGTTGTACGCCCAGTTGTATGAAGAGATTGAACGCGACTTGATCCTGGTTGGCTGCACGGCGATCGACGATCGGTTGCAAGACGCCGTACCGGAGACGATCGAAGCGCTCAAAGATGCAGGGATCCGACTCTGGGTCCTAACGGGCGACAAGGTGGAAACCGCTATCAGTATCGGTTTCAGCTGCAATCTCTTGAGTGACGATACTTACAACGCCATCATCGATGGCGAATCCAAGGAAGCTGTGCAAAAACAAATGTATGAGTACATGGCCTTCGTCGTCGCCGGACAACTAGCCAAGGAAAGCTTCGACCGCATCGTCGTCCAACAACAATTAGAAACCACGGACTCCTCACCTACCGCAGAGTCCACCGCCGGCCGTGCTAGCCGCTGCGGCGCCTGCGGCTCCGGCTGCTTCACCGTCAAGTGCTGCAAAGGCCAAAAAACCGAACGCGAACGCAGACGACAACAGAAACCCGCTCGCAAGGAAACCATGGACGTCCAGGACTTCATCAAGGTCGTCTCCTTCAACGCCAAGCATACCAAAGTACTCGCACCCGTTGACGGAAAAACTGAACCAAAGGCACTCTCGCCCGAGGAACTCGAGCGATTAATCCAACTCTACGTCGGAGCCTTCGAACCCCACGAAGAAAAGGGACCCTTCGGACTCATCGGCGACCTCATCGGACCGAAAAAGGCGCAGGCCTCACCGCTTCAGAGTTCACGCGCAGTGGACAGTGCTCTCGCTACCGCCTCGCAGGCGGCCGCCGCCGGCGGCGGCGCCGCCGGCGCAGCCGGGGCCGGAGGGGGTCCCGAAGGTGCAGGGGATGTGGAGCGGTTCAAGTCGGTTGCAATAACGGTGACGGGGGACGCCTTGTCGATTGCATTGGCGGACGACGAGATCAAGAGTTACTTCTTTGGGTTGGCGTATTTATGTTCAACAGTGATTGCGTGTCGAGTAACGCCAAAACAGAAGGCTGAAGTGGTGCGACAATGTGCGCGGATGACCCCTGCGAAGAACTTTACATCGCTAGCGATTGGAGATGGCGCGAACGATGTGGGAATGATCTTGACGGCGGATGTGGGCGTTGGTATTTTCGGTAAGGAAGGTAGTCAGGCTGCAGGAAGTGCCGACATATCAGTTGGTGAGTTCAAGATTTTGCGTAATCTATTATTTGTGCACGGACATCAAATTCTTCGTCGTCATTCTACGATGGTATACCAGACCATCTTTAAGAATGTATTGTTCGCAATATGTTGTTTCATTGCTGGATGCTTCTGTGGTTTCTCTGCAGCTGATCCATACGACAGTTACATGAAGCAGTTGTTTAACTTGATCTATACGCCATGGTGTATAATGTCTGCGGCGGTGTTCGATCGACATTTACCGTATGATCTATTGGCTCGATGCGGTTGTCTGTATCCTGTGAATACACATCCGCATGGAGATGCTTACTTTGGTTTCAAGCGTTTCTGTGAGTGGTTCTTCTTTGCACTTGCGGCTGGAGTGATTATCTGTTTGGTACCAGTGTACGCACTACAATGGGGTGCTAGTATCTCCCCTGAGGGTCAGTCGGATGTGCTGGATTGGCACAGTTATGGCCAATCCGTGTTTACATTAGTTGTGCTCGTGGCAGTGATGTGCACTGTGCCTTACACTGCTACCGTATTCTGGTTCACTATTCTCGCTTGGATTTTGAGCATAGGAAGCACCTATCTCTCGTGGCTTATTCTATCCCTCTGGAGCTCCTCCAATTTAAACGCAACCTTCGCCGGTGTCTTCTCAACTCCCATGTTCCACTTCATCATGTTCCTCGCTCTACTCATACCCGTTGCAGCACTCTACCTACATTGGAAGTATAAAGTACTCTTCCATCCAGAACCTGATACCGTCGTACGGGAAAGACTGAAAAAAGGAGTTTTCGACGTTATCGTTGCACCCAGCCGAAGAGGTGACCAAAATGTTGTAGTCCCACGAACACATCAAAAAGACCAATGGAAGGGCTTCGCCTATGCACCATCCGATACACGATACTCCTTACAACGACGGTCCATGTCACAAACTAACGTACTTCATGACAAAACTCGCCTCGCATCCAAACTACCCAGCGTCATCGAAGACAGCGATGAAGAACGCGCCACCGCCCAAAGAGCCGCCGCCCGTCGTGGCCCAAGAAAAGATACAACCTTCGGCGGCCTACTCAACAACTAAACCAACCTCTCCTCCACCACCTCCAGAACTACACTACTGTTTGGAGGGGAGGGGAAGGGAAGGGAAGGGAGATATCATTACCCCGGGAGGCATTGATAAGCCTCTTAGCCCCGAGCCTGTAGCCCAAAACCTGCGGCCCTAAGCCTGTATCGCCCATTGACCCGTGGAAGCTGCGTTGTGCTCCGCGGGGGTGGCTGCCCCCCCTTGCCCCTTGGGGCCCCCGCTGCAGTCGAAGGGAGCAGACACGCATGCACTATGATTCCTTCGGACGGACGGATTCCATCTAAGGAAAAGGCATCGGATCTGGTGGCGGCTGCGGCGGCTGCGCAGGCGGCGCAGGCGGAGCTGCCCCAGACGTACGAGGCTGCACCCCAGCCGTTTGTGGGGCTGAGTGGCGAGTTGAAGGCGCCCTTTGCGGTCACCTCGATGGTGGCGCCTCTGCTCAAGGGAGACGCCGTGCCCACGGCCTCTGGCAAACAGCCCGTGTACCACCTCAAGATCACGGCGCGTCCGCTGAAGAAATTGAACGAGGGGCAATCGCTGACCTACAAAGTCACTGCCGGACCCACCGGCGGCGATCTGACCGGCGGACTCACCGAGACACAAACTGTCAAGCCGCCTGGAACCGTGGTCCATTGCGTACCCGAAATGGCTGACCAGTCACCACTCCAGTTCGCGTCGCCTGCCGAGGCTGCGGCCGCAGCCGCGGCCGCGGGCTACGGCCCCGCGGGGTCGGCAGGACTTACTGGGCCAGGAGGGCCGGGCGGGTCTCAGTCGTGGACGGCGCCGCGGTTGTCCAAGTCGTCTTCGTACCACGACCAGTTGAGCGGGATCACGGGACTGCACAACTTGAATTTCAAGACGATAGCCCACGTGTACAAGGGCGAGGCTGCATTGGGGACAGACGCGGTGGTGGGTGGGTTACTGGCTGCGCCGGGTGCGTCACGTGCGGGAGAGGGATTGGTGGACTCTTCGGACGAGACGGTGGGTGTACCTGGCTGGTGGAACAAATCTTCGAAGTCGATGGCTGACATGAGCGTGAAGGAAAAAGAAGAGATGGCTGCGCAGTATGAGGACTTGGCGGAGGTGAACCGGATTCAGTACGGGAGACATCGTTCTCGATCTTCGCGCGGTGAGGGGATGAGCGCTACGGAGTTCCGGCAGAAGTTGGGATTGGTTCCGGGCGGTATGCCTCCACCTCCGGAGCCGGGTTTCAGTAAGGTGATTCCTGACTTGGTGGACCCGGAGGACGCGGAGAAGCACAGCGTGTACAATTGGATTGTTCCGGATGAGGCAGTGGAGGCGGAGTTGGATCGACTAAGTTCAAGTTTCTCCGGAGTTGGCCAAGATGCCAGGGGTCCGCGTGCTCGTTTCCAGCGCGGGAACACGGCTGATATTATGGATGTGATGCGACGCACGCGTGCGGCAGCCCTTGGTCAGGGTGCGGCTGAGAAGGGGCTGTTTTGGCGTCGTCTTTTCCCACAGAAACGCGAAGATGGGACTGACGAACCCGGGTTCCCTGCAGGCGGTGAAGACCCTCTCCATTTTATGACTTCTGGCCAACTTGAACACTTCTTGCAGGAAGCCCATGCCGGACTCCTTTGGGAACAGGGCCGTCTACCTGAGGAACTCGCCAACCTTGCCTCTGGCCCCGCCAGCGTACAGTCTCGCCTCGCCCACAACCCTCAGGCTCATGCCGGCCGCAAACTAACGGGCCCCCTCACCAGCCTTCTCAACTGGCTCGGCTGCGGCCCTGGCGCTGGCGCCGGCGCTGATGAGAAGACTTCCGGCCGAGAAAACCTAGGTCGGAACTTGGACGTAGAAGACTACAGTAGTGACGAGGAAGAACCACCGATCCGCCCCTCCGTAGTCTATGGGGGGGTGGAACACGAACCACCGCGATTCGTAGGCGAACTAGGACCCCTAACAATGCGTCTTCACGCCGCCGAGACGCACCAGTATTTCCCCGTAGCGGGTATGAGTCACCCCTGGTTCCTTAAGACGGGACTCAACCCTGCCAGCCAGGCCGTGCATGGGCCCGTCGCGCTACCCTGGGACCCTAAGAACACTGGCATGCCAGCACCTACCGTCCAGTCACTCTTCAGACGCGGCTACGTCAAAGTCGATCTTGCACCCGCCGTCGCAGACATGTTCGAACCCGAACTACCCAACGCCACCACCACTCAAGTCGCCCCTGCAGACGAAACAACCGCCTAACCACTGCAGCCAATACACCACTACTACACACATAGGCACACATAGACCTTTTATATACAAGCTGCTTGTTCACGCCAAGACTTGCGTTATCCACACACGGCTAGTGGTGGGCGAACGGGGATAGAAGCGGGGGCCAGCGGCTAGCGGTGTGAGGTTAGAGCCAGGTTCGTTCTAAAAACTGTCGTGATCGCTTTTGTACGTGTAGCCACGCGTAGGACATGGCGATGAGAGTTGTCTTGACGATAGCCCCTGCCAAGGCGAGGTAGAGCGTGAGTAGGTGCATGCCGTATGTTTGGCGGAGGCCGCCGGAGAGGCAGAGGCGGGATCCGCGATGGGTTGTGGATAGGGCGCACGTCCATGTGGCAGCGGCACATATGAGCCAGAACCAGTCGACGGCGGTAGCGACGAGGAGGACACTGTTGGCGCAGGCAACTCCGCGGAAGGTCGCCGGAGAAGCGGCAAGGAGAGAGCGGGTTTTGTCATAACGGGCGGTGACTAGTTCACCACCGCGGACACGTTGTACACGTCCGGTGGTGTCCCAGGAGCCTTGCACACTCCATTCCCAGTAAACGTAGAGCAGCACGGGCAGCGAAAAGTCCGAACGACCTACACATGACATCATAGACAGACATAATGCCAGTCGCAACAACCATTGTATGGCGCCCCCAATAGACCGGAAGTGACACTCGTCAAATGCCATCTCACCCGCCTCCTCCCCCGCCAGCTCAACCAACGGCTCGTTCACCGCTGCATTCGGCGCCAGAAACGTGTGCGTACCCAACTGCCCCGCTGCCGTCGTCGCAAACGTCTGCCCCACTGGCACAAAACCAGACTTTGCTGCGAAACCGGAGCCCGGCTCGAAACTAGAACCTCTGTTGTTGGTGGGACTCCAGCCCGCGGTAGCCCAGCCGCCTGCGGGAGTAAAGCCGGCTGGAGGTAGTCTCGTTACTGATTCATACATACGCAAAATACCCGTATTTTTCCGGCCGCGGGATAAACGCCGGCCGCATCGCGGCAAATTGGATGTGACGGTGGTTTTTTTTTAAATATCTGTTCCCGTCCATTTGCGGCGGGAAGTTCGTGTTGAAAGTTCGTGTTGAAAGTTCGTGTTGGGGGTTCATGTCTGTCTGTTACACACTGTTCACTCTTCTGGTTAGACGTTTCCGTCCTTGTCACAAACACGCGCGTGTTTGTATCCCGTGCTCGGGGCCTACCACGTTCCAAAAGCGGGGAAGACGCACGACCTTGAGCTGTCCGCCTTAATAATGTCCGCGGCTCAGCATTAAATAACGTCCGGTTTTTATGTGATGAGATGCGCGGTTGCTGGGGGTGAGTGTGGCAATAAGTTTGGCAGCACACACGCGAGAGCGCGCATTCGGCAAGGCACGCGTATGTGTTTGGGACACGTGATGTTGCCGGTGACTCTGAACGGGCGGTGGGTGGATGCGGCGCGGTTGCCGCAGACAGAAGTGGCCCGCCGAACGGAAATTTCGAATCTTTGGTGGACGCGGTTTGCATGGACGCGGCACACGCCGCTCTTATTGGGTCTGAGTGTATTGCAAGATTTGCCTGACGACGCGATGCAGTGTAACTACTCCTCGGTCGTGGCGCAGTATGCTGGCGTAACCTGCCCACGACTCATTGGCCGCGAGATTGAAGAAGAGTTTGGCACCTTCGTTCTGACACACCGGCGAGTGGAAGCTAAATTATTGGACACCGTCCGCACGTTCCTCAACCGGCTGGACAACATAGCCCGTGCATACCCGCGTTCTTGTGGGCTAGACCCATCCCAACGAGCACAACTTAACCTTTGGGTCCAGTCCTTCGGTCGAGGAGACGAGGATGACCGAGGAGACGACGATGACCGAGGAGGAGACCCAGACCCCGACATACCGGCTAACCTACATCAGCTTGCCCAGTCTTACACCAGCCACACGAAGTACCTACATGGTAGCATGGTCATCATCCTTCCCGCGACCGTCCGAGAGACCACCACCAGTCAACGAAATACCAATCGCACCAAGCGCTTCTTTCTAAAGGGTCTATTCTCGTGCGTTTCATGAACAAGGGCGTTCCAGCCTCTGGTCACCAGGAAGAGTCCCACGCGGAGAAGAGAGGCCGCGCCCGAATAGAAACCGCGCCCGAACGGAGAGGTGAATATTGGTCACTCACGAGAGGAGAATAGTGGTCACTCACGGTACGACGTCTTTTCCAAGCATCTTTTACACACTCCTTTGCTGCTGTAGAATGACGGTGCTGGGCACAACACGGAAGATTTTCGTCACGAGACGTGGCCGCCATTCAGACGGAAACGAGTATTGTCGACGGTGGTCTGATTCGTATGGTTTTAAAGTATGTGTCTGACGGTCGACGGCGTGTGGTGGACGTCCTTTTTTTTTACTGTTCTCGTACCATAGCGATTTCTTAAATCGATTCACGCATCTGCTTTATACTTCTCCGGATCTCTAACTGCGGATAGTTCGCCATGAGTTCGTCTTGATGGTGCGTACGACATGCCCTGTGGGTATAGATTGGTGTGTGAGCACACACGTACGTGAACTCATATATGCCGCTCATCTTACTCCATACATGGTAAGCAGGGAATACGTAATAGATCTCGGAATGGATCTGTAAGTAATCTTTGGTTGGAAAAAAAGTGTTTGTCGATCCACACACGGATCATTGTAACCTCCCCAAAACAACTCTACCTCCTCGAACAACTCTACCTCCTAGAAGGTTCCTTTCCAAAAAAATCGTTGGCAAGTAGGACACGGACAACTTCCTCCCAGTCTGCATCAATACGTACATGGCCCCAGAAATGTGTGTGTCTGTCTGTCTGTCCGTCTGTCTGCGTTCGCGGATTTGGCGTTTAGGGGCACGTGAGGACCGTGGCAACCCGGAACTCTTCATTGAACTCCAGTACTACATAGGCTTGTGAGTAACTGCCGATGTACCAGCCGTCATTGCTGGGCTTGTTGAATTGCGGAGTCAAGCGGTAGGACTTGACCAAGTCGCCGAGGTTAACCAGTACTTGATGTGCTCGTCCATCTCGGCCTGGACGATGGCGCCTGCGTCTTTCTCGCTGAGCTCGAGGAACCCATCCGGTCGCCGCCCGCTGGGCGTCGATGGGTTCCAGGTACACTGTTGGGGGAATGGCGTGCAGACGACGCCTTGCTTGTCAGCTTCGTCCTGCACGGCCTTACACACCAGCTCCCCAGGTGCCATTCACCACCCCTAACACGGTCCACTCCCGTCCATCGTGTGTACCGCAGTCCTGAACACAACGGCATGACGCAGTCAAACGGTTGGTTGCGGTGTGGACGTTTGGTCGCGGAGTGCAGTCATTTTCAAGACGATGTAAATTTTCATTCAAATGAGAGGATTTACTGCTACAGATGTTCAAGAAGTCTCGCCGCTGTTGTCGGTGATGACTGGGGTGACCTTTGATGTTGCTCCTCTGGGTGAAGAGATTTGCGCCTCGCTCGTCAGCGTGCGCCCTGTGGTTGACCGCCGATCTGAAGCTCCTGGTGGCGTTCCACCAGCGATGCCCAACTGCGTGAGATTAGGGCTTGATAAGCATGACAAGGTTTCGCCGAAGTTCTTGTTGACAGTCGCCCTGCAGACAGCAGACCAGCTGCTGGAAAACAACGGTACGTTGTTCAGCCGCGATCAGATCCAGCTGCTGAGCCAAGGAGAACGTCCCACCGTCCGCCTGGACCTCGAAGGTGCGGACAAGTACGATGACGCTAAGACGGCTGCTGATGAGCCTGAGCGAGTCAAAATGGCTCAAGGCATCTTCTTGCGTTTGTTTAAAGACGGCCGAGTGGGCGGTGAATTCAAAAGTAGCCGAGACGAACACCTAGATGTGTTGGCCGTGTTGGAGAAACCGGTGGTGACCGTGTCTGACTTCCGTCAGGCGCTAGTTAAGGTCTACAGCGCATATGAGCCCTCGGGTGACTATGTCTCGGGTGTCTGGAAGGGCATCTGTCGCCCAATGCTTATGGGGAACTACCAGATACCACAGGTAAAGGTTGGGTCTCCCTATGAGGGGAAGGTGTGCCCACGTTGCGATCCCGGTCCGCTGGTGAGCCTGCCGGCCGCTCCGAGCAGTTTGATGGACACCATAAGTTCGCGCAGGTGCGACTCGTTGTACAACAGTCCTGACAAGTTCGTTCCGGACAACCACAGCATCCCGGTCAACGAGTGGATCATGCCTAACTTTAACAAGGTGTACACGATGGACGGGGAGTGGCCCGTGTTGGGGGTGGTGAATGGCGCTTGGGGAGCTCATGCCGATCGTGTGTCCAAGGCCGTGCAGGACGAAGCCGACAAGCAAGGCGTCGTCTGCACGCCATTCCCCTGGCAATGTACCTGGAAGCCATCGACGCCCAGCGGGAGACGACCGGATGGGTTCCTCGAGCTCAGCCAGAAAGACGCAGCCGCCATCGTCCAGGCCGAGATGGACGAGCACATCAAGTACTGGCGTGTGGCTAACCTCGGCGACTTGATCAAGTCCTACCGTTTGACTCCGCAACTCGTCCAAGAGCTAGAGATACAGGCGGAACAACTCGTTAAGGATGCAAGAGTCGCTGAAAGAATAACGGACAAAGACGGACATGCCGAGCGTCGTGCACCGAACCAACCCCGAGACGCCACGAAATACCGCAAGCCCAGCAACGACGGCTGGTACATCGGCAGTTACGCACAAGCCTACGTGGTACTGGAGTACAATGAAGACGGCACAGCCTCCGAAATGCGTTTTGCCACGGTTCCCACGTGTCTCAACGCCGAAAGCGGGGCCGAAGCCGCAAACAGACAGAGAGATTTCTGGGTCCAAGTACGTATTGATGCAGCTTCCCAGGATAAGATCGACTACTGGAGTTGAGCACTTTAGAACGTACGCCTCACTGTCGCGCCTCACTGTCGCACGACTCGTCCACAAACGAATCCTTTTTTTTTATGGAACAGAAACGAACGGACGAACGGACGAACATCCGTTGGGGAATCATTTTCGGTGGTCTTAACCAAAACAGTTACCCCTCAAGCCAGACCTCCAGTTAGTCGTCGTCTAAATAAGATGTTTTGGGTGAACTCAATTAAAGACGACACGGGATTAAAGACAAGACGGGATCATTTTTCTTTGGTGGACAAACACGAAGCGACTCAACCCCCCACTGGACCTCGATCAACTCTACCCTACCCTCCCACTGGACCTCGACCAACTCTACCCTACCCCTCACTGAACGACCAACTCTATTTTCAGGTGATCCGTCTCAAAACGAGCCGTTTGGAAACGACTCGTTTCCAAAAATGGGGCATGCACCTTAGCGCTTCTCCAAGCTGTACTTGAACGCGCCCTCGCTGCCTGCATCTCTGCGTACTTGGTTCCAGAAAAGTTCCTGCTTGCGTTTGGCTTCGTTCGCGGACTTGGCGTTCAGACACATGGGGACCGTAGCAACGCGCAGTCCGGAGGCTGTGCCGTCTTCTTTGAACTCCAGCACTACATAGACTTGTGCGTAACTGCCGATGTACCAGCCGTCATTGCTGGGCTTGTTGAATTTGTTTAGGTCTCGGGGTTCGTTCGGTGCAAGACGCTCGGCATGTCCGTCTTTATCGGTAATTTCTTCAACCAATCTGGCTTCTTTCACGAGTTTGTCGGCCTGTGTCTCTAGTTCGTAGACGAGATGCGGAGTCAAGCGGTAGGACTTGACCATGTCGCCGAGGTTAAGCACACGCCAGTACTTGATGTGCTCGTCCATCTCGGCCTGGACGATGGCGGCTGCGTCTTTCTGGCTGAGCTCGAGGAACCCATCCGGACGTCGCCCGCTGGGCGTCGATGGCTTCCAAGTGCATTGCCAGGGGAACGGTGTGCAAATGACGCCTTGCTTGTCGGCTTCGTCCTGCACGGTCCTGGACATACGATCCACATTGTATCCCCAGGCGCCAGTCAGCACCTCCGACACCGGCCACTCCTCGTCCATCGTGAACACCTCGTTAAAACCTTCCACCACCCACTCGTTGAGCGGGACGTGGTGGTTGTCCGGAACAAACGATTCTAGACCGTAGCTGCCGGTGCGCTCGCGCCGAGCCACGGACTCGAACAATCGACTCGGCGGGGTCGGGAGGCTCACCAGCGGACCGGGTTCGCAACGCGGGCACACCTTCCCTTCAAAGGCAGGCCCAACTGCTACCTTCGGCACCTTCCAGCCCTGCACAAGTACCGGGCGACAGATACCCTTCCAGACACCCGAGACATAGTCGCCCGAGGGCTCATATGTGCTGTAGACCTTAACTAGCGCCTCACGGAACTCAGACACCGTCGCCCACGGTTTCTCCAACACGGCCAACACATCTCCGTTTTCTTCTCGACTACTTTTGTATTTACCACCCACTCGGCCGTCTTTAAACCAACGCAAGAAGATGTCTTGAGCCATTTTGGCTCGCTCAGGCTCATCAGCAGCCGTCTTAGCATCATCGTACTTGTCCGCACCTTCGAGGTCTAGGCACACGGTGGGACCCTCTTCTTTGCTCAGCAGCTGGATCTGCTCGGGGCTGAACAACGTACCTTCGTTCTTGAGCATCTGGTCGACCGTCTGCAGGGCAATGGTCAACAAGAACTTCGGCGAAATCTTGTCATGTCCATCAAGCCCCAATCTCACGCAGTTCGGCATCGCTGGAGGAACGCCACAAGGAGCTGTAAGACGGCGATCAAGCACAGGGCGTACTTCGACGAGCGAGGCACAAATCTCCTCACCCGGAGAACCAACATCAAAGGTCACTCCAGTCAACACCGACAACAGCGGCGAGACTTCTTGAGCATCTGAAGCAGTAAATCCTCTCATCAACTGAAAATTTTACATCGTTCTTAAAAAAGACTGCACTCCACGACAAAACGGCTCACACCACACCACACACAACCACTTGGCTGCGTTACGTCCCTCTTAAAAATGACTGACCTTCCCCAACAGGGCTGCGCACAATCAACCATGTCCACGACCGCCAGACTCTCCACGCTGTCGTTAGGTATGTCAACGAGGAGTTCGGTGGCATGACAAGCATGCCCGACGTAGCAGCCGCGGCAAGAAGTACCCCAGACGTACAGTTGGCTTTGGAGATGTGTGCCGTCATAACAACTGAGCTCATGCTGTTGGGTCCCAACCCCCGCACCTCGATAACCCTTCTTTTGAGGTTGTCCTCCAGAACCACTGACACGCACGATGGCTACTAACCCTGTTGACAACTCACTGGTCGACGACCTAGGTAGTGTTAGCACCCCAGACGAGCAGTGGTGGAAAGCATTCGTACGTGACAGATGGTCGTTCTGTGGACCCTGGAAGCCCATTCCGAAGCGGCCGTCGAAGAACGGCTCTACGAGGCCTCACTCCGCCTTCAGTCACAGCGACCTTCGACTGAAACCTTGTCCCAGACCGTGAGAGCCATCTTTCCAGCGAGCTTGTACATAGAAAAAATAACCACCGACAGCCTAGCACGCGGACACTTCTCGTCACGACATTGACCACCGCATGACGAAGCATCTCGAATTACTTGTGAGGTTGTGTATGCGCTGCGACTCCTCGTCCATGACAGCTCAAATCGCCGACACTTACCCGATGCAAAACGCGAGCAGCGGTCGCCGTACGCAGCTGCGAAGAGAAGGAGATTCGACAACCGACCATGCAGGCCAGCTTGATCATTGGAAAGGCGAGTGCCCGAAGCGACAGTTCTTCTGCGCAAATTGCGGCAGGGAGGGCCATACCGAAAACGTGTGTGCCGTAAAGAAGTTAGTGGGAAGTATTGGAGAGTAATCGAGGACCTCATCAGTTGACTACTTGGTAGCTCCCCACCCGGAAGCGCAGCTTGTACTAAATACCGACGCCAGTCAGTGCGCAGTAGGAGCGATATTGGATCAGGTCAACGATAGCAGGATGGAAGTGATCGAGTACGGTAGCAAGAAGCTCACCCAAGCTCAAGGTAATTAGGACGCGAGAGAAAGACAGTTGTGGGTGGTCAAGTACTTTGTGACCAAGTAGAACCCTTACATACGGCTAAGACCCACGCTGGTCCTTGCCGACGACCGCAATCTCACTTTCCTAGCGAAGGCTGACACAGGCAAGGTGGTCGATGAGCTCTGTTCCTCCAGCAATACGACTTAAAGTTCAGTTACATCCTAGGCGATAACAACTACGTCGCCGATACCCTGTCTAGGCTCCAGGACGACGAGGACCATGATCGGGACCGCGATGCTACGCACATCGGTAATCGGCCGTTTGCAGTCCACTTCGCTGAGGTCAGCCAGAACCTATTCCAGCTACCGTCACGCAACGAGTTCCTTGTCAAGGACGACGACGTCCCCGTGGATGAGTTGCAAAACCTCCTCAAAAGAGAAGACGGCCTAAGAGCGAACACCGTAAGACCAAAGAGTTGAAGTCCCGACTTGACTTAGGTCTACGCTGACTGCTTGGCAGCACTTCGTCCAAGAGTCCGCCATCTGTGTCCGCAATCTTCCCGTGCGCAACCTGCCGCGGACACACGAAGGCACGCTGGAGCAGCCGTTCTTCATGAGAAGAGTAAGCATGGATTATGTGGGCCCTAGAGCATTCCAAGGGCAGGAATACTACATCCTTGTGTGCATACATCCTTGTGTGCATAGACCGCGCAACTCTCTACATCGTAGCTAGAGCAACGTTGGTGAAGACGGCTGCGGTAACGCGCAACCTGTTTGCAGAAAGTGTAGTAGGGGCGTTGGGGATACCCTTCGAAGTATACACGGACGGCGGAACAGAGTTCAGAGGTGACTTCCACGACTACGTGACCTCCGTGCTGAAGGTCAAGCACATCAATGCCGCACCATACCTACTTCGACAGAATGGACTAAACGAATCGAATCACTTCGAGCTGGGAGATGCTGTAGGTACCATGGTCGAGCCCGTCGAGCCCGTAGTCGTCGATTGCCCCGACGCTATGGCAGACTAGTGTGGCGTGACAGTGCAGGCTGAGAGCACCGCCCGTGAGGCCCGAAACTGGAGTTCTGGGCGACTTGTTCATGCAGCCCAAGGGGCTAGTCAAAGGAATGCGGATGTGAAGCTGCACCTGCTCCGGAAGGTGAGAGGCTACAGGGAACGTTTAAGTCACCCTAGCTCAGCCTGCTCAAAGACTAGCACCGAACATCGATCAGAGAACCGGACAGCATAAGAGGGAGATCCGTCATAACTAACTGAGCTCATGCTGGTGGAGTGCAGTCATTTTTAAGACGATGTAAAATTTTCTGAGTGAGAGGATTTACTGCTACAGATGCTCAAGAAGTCTCGCCGCTGTTGTCGGTGATGACTGGGATGACCTTTGATGTTGGTTCTCCGAGTGAGGAGATCTGCACCTCGCTCGTCAGCGTGCGCCCTGTGGTTGACCGCCGATCTGAAGCTCCTGGTGGCGTTCCACCAGCGATGCCCAACTGCGTGAGACTAGGGCTTGATACGCACGACAAGGTTTCGCCGAAGTTCTTGTTGACAGTCGCCCTGCAGACAGTAGACCAGCTGCTGAACAACGAAGGTACGTTGTTCAGCCACGATCAGATCCAGCTGCTGAGCCAAGGAGAACGTCCCACCGTCCGCCTGGACCTCGAAGGTGCGGACAAGTACGATGACGCTAAGACGACTGCTGATGAGCCGGAGCGAGTCAGAAATGTCTCAAAGCATCTTCTTGCGTCTGTTTAAAGATGGCCGAGTGGGCGGTGAATTCATAGGTAGCCGAGACGAACACCTAGATGTGTCGGACATGTTGGAGAGACCGGTGGAGACCATGTCTGACTTCCGTCAGGCGCTAGTTAAGGTCTACAGCGCATATGAGCCCTCGGGTGACTATGTCTCGGGTGTCTGGAAGGGCATCTGTCGCCCAATGCTTATGGGGAACTACCAGATACCACAGGTAATGGTTGGGTCTCCCTATGATGGGAAGGTGTGCCGACGTTGCGATCCCGGACCACTGGTGGGCCTCCCGGCCGCGCCGAACCAATCCGTGGATTGGCGCGAGCGTACCAGCGGCTACGCTCCCAGGCGGTTTGTTCCGGACGACCACCACGTCCCGGTCAACAAGTGGATGGTGCAAGATTTTGACAAGGTGTTCACGATGGACGGGCAGTGGCCGGTGTCGGAGGCGCTGACTGGCGCCTGGGAATAGCATGTGGATCGTATGTCCGACACCGTGCTGGACGAAGCCGACAAGCAAGGCGTCATCTGCACACCGTTCCCCTGGCAATGTACCTGGAAGCCTTCGACGCCCAGCGGGAGACGACCAAATAAGTTCCTCGAGCTCAGCCAGAAAGACGCAGCCGCCATCGTCCAGGCCGAGATGGACGAGCACATCAAGTACTGGTTAACCTCGGCGACTTGATCAAGTCCTACCGTTTGACTCCGCAACTCGTCCAAGAGCTAGAGATACAGGCGGAACAACTCGTTAAGGATGCAAGAGCCGCTGAAAGAATAACGGACAAAGACGGACATGCCGAGCACCGAACCAACCCCGAGACCCCACGAAATACCGCAAGCCCAGCAACGACGGCTGGTACATCGGCAGTTACGCACAAGCCTACGTGGTACTGGAGTACAATGAAGACGGCACAGCCTCCGAAATGCGTTTTGCCACGGTTCCCATGTGTCTCAACGCCGAAAGCGAAGCCCAAGCCGAACGCAGAGCGAGAGATTTCTGGGCCCGAGTACGCAGCCTGCCGGGACGAGGTCATATTCGATAAAACCGAATTGAGCACTTCGGGCGGATTGAGCACGTACGCCGGAAGCCACACTGCTGCACGACTCGTCCAGAAACGAATCGTTTTTACGAACGAACGAAGGAACATCCGTCAGGTGGGACGGGGGCCCCAATTAAACACTTCTTGGCCCGACGCGTGCTACTCCTCAAGCCAGACCTGCAGTTAGTAGACCTGCAGTTAGTCGTGAACTAGTGAACGATCATATCTGACCCCCGCTTTCAAAATGAGGCCTACGCCATCGTTTGACGTATCAACAAATAATTTTGTCTGGGGACCCACAGATCGAACCTGCTTACTGGAACGACTGCTCCAACGCGGCTTCGTATTCTCGCAACAGGTTGCGTTGGCGGCGCTGAGTGCTGCGGCGCACTTTGCACCCTTGTGGTGGCCCATCCACGGGCGCTCTCACCAACCAGATCAAGTCGTCGCTTGCCGTGGGTGTGGTTTTCATCAACGGCCTCATGGTTTCCACGCAGCGAGGAATGAGTCATATATCGAATGGTTGGCCCTAGCGACGAGCCGGCTATGTTGGTATCACGAGCTCCCATACCAGCTTGTACCGTTTGGAGCGCCTCGAACGCGTCCAAGGAGCAGGATCGGGAAGGGGTTTACGAAGCCTATTCGAAGCCTAGGTTGGTGTAGTCACAAGCCACTCTTCCGGACCTCCGGGTTACCTGGCTCTCTCCAGCACGACTTGGAGGAGCCTGGACAGCCAGACGCAAATGGATCTCACTTACTTACCTCTTGCAGGTAATGTTGAACCGATCGACTGCCGCCCGACGCCTTCCGTGGTTGCAAGTGTGGGGGTGCATGTCTGGCAAGACATCAGGGACGCATATTTGACAAGAC